TTTCAATGATCTAAGCGACTATGTTTACGACAGTTCTGATTTTAAAAATCGCAAAAGACCTCGCGCTGTTCTGAATATGATTCATTAACGTTTCGATATCCTCCTTTCCGAATTAACATGCAGTTTCTCCACTGAGTCACAATTTCCCCTCCAATCGTTTGTTTCTATTGTTTATCTATTTTATTACCTACTTGAAATTATAATAATAATATTTAAAAAAATTATATATGCATAATTAATTTTTTATTTTTTTATTAATTAATAAAAAATTTCGAATAATTAATTTTTAAATACATTAATAATATACTTATATTGCTTTTTTCTATCTAATCAATGGGCTTAAAGCTTAAGAAATTTTCTTCACTCACAAAGCAGGAGATAGAGCTTGCTAAGCAACCAAGGTTCTCCATTAATCTGGCAAATCGTTGTCGTCGGTGAATTGACATTTTCAAAACATCTCTTTGTTACAAATACTATATGTTCAACAATACAAGTTATCATAGCCATAAAGTTCGTGTGCAGCAAAACTTGAAAACAGTACAACAACTGTCTGTGTAATATGAATAATTGGTTTGGTTTGATTTGATTTATCGTTGTACGGCCATTTTGTGCGTACTTCGGGATAATTAGAGGGACTTACAATTTAACGTGAATTCCGAACAATTTACAAACATCCATGCCACTGTCAGGAAGTCTCGAACCTGAAGTGTGTGGAACCAATAGCCAGAGTGCTAGCCAATTGGCAGTCAGGGCCGCCAAGAATAGCTGTATTAAAATAATTGTATTCATTGAATTTAAATCAAAATTATTAATTTTTAATGAAATTATAATAGAAAGAAAAGTAACCATTGAAATAAAAAAAATGAAAATACTAAATTTGGTGATTCCATAACGGAAAGAGATGGTTTTCGTATTAAAAACGTTAGAGAAAAATCAGCATTTATTTAATCAATATTGCTGCAAATAAGAATACAGAACTTTTATTAATTTAAAAAAAAATTTTCTTGCGTCCTTCTACCAGAATATCTATTTGTAATGTCTGAATTACAATGGTTCTTTTTTAATCAAATCTTTGGTTACCTGCATCTTCAAAATCAATAATTGAATTATATGTATTTATTATCGATTAACCTCATTATTACTAATATCATAATGATACACTACAATTTATGTGAATGTGATTTGTCCTCGGCCTTTTTTTCAAGTACACCAGTAATTGAAATTTTTAATTTTTAAATTAAAAACTCAAAACCATCTATTAAGAGCAAGGACAATATAAAATATTATTCAAAGCTATGTTATTACAAAGAATAGATCAATGCCAACAAAAGGCTAATGTTTTGTATAATTTGTTTAATTTAGGCACAAATTCGAATGAAGAAAAACTGTATAATGAAAATAGTAAAAGGATTTTCGGTACTGAGATGGGAAAAGTCTGTTAATTTTACTTAAAGATTCTAACAGTTAATGATAATATAAATTAGCGGTTAATTTTAACCATTAAATTTAACACTCCTTAATTTTTAAATGTGGGGTTAAATTACGTACATAGTATCTATGTATACTATAAACCAATAGCAACAATTGCATTAATTTGAATTGCAACATACAATATATTTACAGGGAGACCCAGTAAGAAAAATGTTACATTTTTGTGGTATATTCTCTATGTCCAACATTTCAACTATTGTTTCTTTCGATGTTAAGCTTTCTAATTGATATTTACTGGAATAAAGTAAGCAAATAATTTAATTTTAATTTCTTAAAATATATATCGGAAGAGATATTATTTTTAGAAAAGATTTGTTTTTAGAATATGTTAATGAATTCAGTGAAATAAAGTTTTATTTATTGATATAAAAAAGATTAATTTAACGAATATGGTTTTGAATATATTATCCCATGATTTTTTCGTAATTTGGTGACTATCTATAAAATGTATTTCGGTTAAGAGTTATCCAATTTTAGAAGAATTTATTTTTTTTCCAACATTTCTTTATATATTCTAAGCAAAGAAGATTCTTCAATTCTCGATTTTAATTAACATTCTTTAATTTGACAAGCTTTGTTCATGTTTGTTTTTCCTAAAATGATGAAGAATTAAGAAATATATGTGTATTACATAATAGATCTTTCTTGGAAATAATATATTTAATTTTCATAATAGATTTTTCTTGTTGTTGGGATTTTATATTCCATCAGAGTAAATCTATTACTTGTCGGATTTTCTGTCTTTAAAATATTCCGTACAAACTTTACGAGCATATATATACAGTTTATTTTCTGGTAAAATGAAAAAAAAATTCTAATGCAGCTGGCAAACATTTAGACAGTGTCTTTGAAGCTTCGCTGTAGTGACGTTACTCACTTTGCATTACCCAAGGGGCGCGTGTAACTTGAAGATAAGCCACGGACGCGGAGTAACAATACCCCCGCAACGCTCTACGATCCTATTATGCCGGGACCTACGGTTTTAAGTGGATTCCGAGTCACTACAAACATCCATGGCATCACCGGGCTTCGAACCTCGGGGTACCGAGATCCAGAGCGCTAGCCACTCGGCCAATCAGGCCCCGGTAAAATGAAAATAAATAAGAAGAAAAACTGGATGATTTCATTTGTATGTTCAACCTTTTGTCTTCCTTAGGTCACATCTTAAGTAAAAACAAATGACTTGCTCAGAAGTTAATACATTTAATTTTAATGTTGCTTGATAAACGAAATAAAAAAAATGAATAAATGCAAAATAAATGAATAATAAAAAGTGAGTAAAGTGAATATGAGTAACTTATTCTAATAAACCTACCAAATAAGCAAAAATGGAAAAGCATAATAATCTTTAAGTCCATTTTTTAAAATTTTCTTTCTATTACGATACAGGTCAAGAAGATTTAATTATTGTAATAATAAATTATCTTAGAAAAGAGAACTATGAAATGAAGATAAGTTGTTTAATTATGAGAAGATTATTTATTTATATTTAATTAATATTTTTAAAATGCGAATTTATTTTTTTTAAAACAGGTATTCGCAAACCAGTGGCTTGACGTTGTTTTACACATCATAAGTTCATTTAACTTTAAGAACTATAATTATCATAAATAGTTTTAGATTTTGATGGAAGATTGTAAGTAAACATACTTAAATAATGAAAGTTAATAAAAAAACATCTAAAAATTAGAAAAAAAATATTTTATTGTGTTCCATTTTAAGTCAGGTTAAAATATAAAATTCTTTAGCTGTAACATGCTAGTCGGGAAGCAAAATCATTATTTCCGTAATTTTTAGCTTCATTTGTAAAAAACACTTCATTTTAAAAAATTCGAAAATTCAAGTTTGAATTTTATTTATTAATTACATTTATTTATTTTATCATTTATATAACTCAAATAGGGATTCTATGTTAGATTTCAGTCTATGATAATACCAAGATATTTCTGTTTTGTGTAAGTTTTACAGTTGGCATATGAAGGTAATTCTTGTAGGAATCAATTGTAAATAAAATTTTTTGATAATCTATTTGAAATTCATTTCTTAGAAATTTCTTGAATTGAATGAATTTCTTTGATTAACAGTTTTTTTAATCAAATTTACTGGGTTTTAACTAATTTCTCTGAAACAATATGTAGTCTCATCTTTAATTAATAGAATTGCATCGTCTGCAAAAGCCTATATGGCATTCTTTTTTCCTATTTCCAGTTCTAAAATATTGTTTATAGGAATATTCCATAATACTGGACCCTTACATGAACTTTGAGGAATACCAAGGGTATATCATCATCAATGGCGCAACGGCCCCATGGTGGGCCAAAGCGCCTAATAGCATATTTCGAGACAGGAGAATTTTCTGTTGGTGTAGAGTTTCAGCCTTACACCCAACGCTCTACACTCATATTAGGCCGGGACCTACGGTTTAAAGTGGATTCCGAAGCACTACAAATATCCATGGTACCACCGGGACTAGAATCCGAAACTTGTGAAATCTAGCGCAAGAGAGCTAGTCATTTAGCCATCAGGCCTCTCTATGGGTATATGGTATAGTAGAATTATTTAAAGTTATATATATACTATTTAAATAATCATTTGTATCATTATTTAAATAAAGTTAAATGCATTGGTGATATCCAAAGATATTAAACAAATTTTTTTTTTTCTGAATATACTTTAGAAAACTCTTTAATGTTTTGAAAAGCTGGAATTGTTGATTTATTTTTCTAAAGCCAAATTGTTATTTATTTAAGTCATTTTGAGTTTCTAAATAGTATATTAATCTTTCAGCTATGATCCGATCAAACAATATTCTCCATGTCGTTAATAAACAAATATGTCTGTAGTCAGATTGCCTATTGATTTTTTCTGCATCTGATTTTTCTGTAGTCAGATTGTTCATTGATAACTTCCGCAATTTTCTACATACTTGGAAATGTTCTTATTTTGAATAATACTTTAAAAAGAGTTAATAACGAAGTTTTGTTTTTTAAATAAATTTATTAATTATCCTGTGAGTTTAGCAACTTCGGGAATTTATGAGGCTTTATTTGGTTATTTATTATAATTTGCAATTTCATTTCTATTTATTTTATCAAATATCTCTACTTGTGTAATTTCATAACTTAATTATTATTCTTCCTAATAGGAAAAATGAAATGTTAATATTTCTTTAATTGTTTTAATTATTGTGATAGTCGAAGAGTTGTCACTTTTGTTGTTGTTGTTGTTTCTTATCCCACTTGGCTGGCCAAGCCCATGAGCCCATACGTACTGATGATTGAAGGGGAAGGAAGCAGCTTCTGTTGTGATGGAGCACCCGTAGGTAGAAGTCTGACTTTGGCTCCGTGACGCTCTTACAGTCATAGGAGACCGGGACCTACGACTTAAAGTGGATTCCGAACCACTACAAACGTCCATGGCACCGCCGGGAATCGAACCCGAAACCTGTGGCAACGAGCGCCAGAGAGTGCTAGACACTCGGCCGTTCAGGTCCCAAATTTGTGAATGCCAACGGCACGCGGTGTTCCCAGGTGGTCACCCACCCAAGTACAACCCGCGCCCAATGATGCTTGACTTCGGTGATCTAACGAGAACCGGTATATTCAGCATGGTACGGCCGTTGGCTGTTGGCACTTTTAGTGACAGCTTTCAAATCTTTATTATTTTTTTTTTATTTTATTAGAGATAATATTAAAATGTTTGCAGTAAATATTTTATGTTGTTATGTTACTCATAAATAATTACAATCTTTCCTTTTTAAATTGTAAATTTCTTTGTTTATATAATGTTTGTGATTTTTTAAATTCAACCTCTTTTATTATTCTCGTATCTTCTACATTTTCTTTTTCATATTAGTATTTTAACTCTCTTAACTATATTTCTTAGAGACCTTAATTTTGATTCTTAGATACCTTAGTTTTGTTTCTTCTTTTACTATTTTAATTTTAGATCTTTATGAATCAACAGTTATTTGGAACATTCATTTTTGTAAAACTTGTAAATAATTACCCAATTTATTATAATTAAATTTATTTAATATTTCAGTTTGGTTTTAGAGTAGTTTAGTCAAGTTTTAGAAAACTTTTGTCAAGTTCAAAGTCAAGTTTTAGTCAAGTTTTAGAAAACTTTTGGTTTTAGAGTAGTTTTAGTTCAAATTTTAGTTTCATCAAAGTAAACAATTGATGTTTGTTTTAGACAATTATTCTCAGACTTCAACAAAGTTCCATTCCATATAAATCACTATTCTGTATTTCATCGATTATTGTGATATTTACATAAAACCAAATCTTTATTACATAAATTATTTACATAAATCCATGTCTTTTCCCTAGTTGAACTATAGATTGGGAGGTAGCAAGAATATCTTTCTATATAGAGCCCATTTTTCAAACAAACAGCAATCTATGAGTTTTTTCCTTAGTTGTCAAGGTCGCTTTGACTCCGAACACTTGATTTAGAGTTAAAGTATCCACAAATCAAAGTTTGTCTATCATAATAATTCTAAATAAAAATTTGCAAAATTTCCATTTTTAATTCAAAATTTTCGTCTGAAACTCAAAATAATATGTTTATCTCTTATTCAATCTTAATATCTCATATTAATATCTTTAATTCAAATAAAACAATATTTTAATTTTTAAAAATTAGAAAAAATATCATTTAATTGATCTATGATTAATGCAGATTTTGGATTATCATGATAACAAATAATTTTATATACACTAGGTGTGTTGAGAATTATATTATTAAAGTAACACGGTTCATCCAGTGAGTAAAAATCAAAGCTGCTGTTTATAATTATTTGGTTCGATTGAGACATTGCGAATGAGTTACATAATTTAATTTGAGATACTTTTATAAAATTTATTTTGTTAGCTTTCCTTTTCAGTTTTATTCAATTCCTTCTATTAGCTCACCCTCTCCCTATATATATCTTGTTCAAATTTTCAATCGTTCATAAAATACACAGTTCAATCACATTAATGTGACCACCTGTCAAAAGCCAGAATATGCACTATTGTATATTCTGGCTTCAAGTGGAGTGTGGAATGTGGTATTAAGTGGAATTCTTTATATACACTCCACTGCAATGTGCTGCCACCTATCTTTTGTGATTGGTTATTTCACAATGACGTCGAAAGTAAGTGGTAGTCACATTAATGTGACTGGACTGTGTACTTTTTATTCATCCACTCAAGTTCACATATATTTTTTTTAACTTGTAGTGGATGACAATCGATGTTAATACAGTTTTTTCAAATATTAATTAATTCATTAAATTTAATTAATTAATTTTAGTTTCTTTTAGAGTTAAGTTGCATATATCTATCAATAGATGGCGCCAGATAAACTTAAAAAAATGAATGAAAATTATTTATAAAAGACTTTCTGCAATATAGTGAAAAAAAGTAGGAATTGACTTTAAGACAAATTTTTTTTATATTACTGGTTTATCAGAAACTTGTAGTGTTTTCTATGATTTACTTCGTAATTAGTTTTAAATTTTGAATTTGAAAAACTGCAATTTACACTATTTGAGGCTTTGTTACAGTTTTTCTAATTGATCATCTTCATCACAATTGGTGCAAATTTTTTGGGGGGTTTTGCAGCATTTTGATAAATGTCCAAACACCTCCCACATTTATAACATATGAGTGGTTTAAAATAATCTTTGACTCGGTCGATTTCCCGATCCAATCCAATTTTACTTTTACTATATTTTTTCTTATTGATCTCAGGATTTAGTTCGATTATCCAATTTCTTCAGATATTTTCTTCAAAAGATGTTTTTATTTTTATGTTTTATACTTTATCGTCTTTTTCTACATAGAGATATTTTATATTGCTTTATATTCCTTCTTTTGTAGTTTCATTTGAAATATTGCATCAAATGATAAATAGTTTCCTTATTGGTTTACTTTATATTAAGATCTTGTTTGGAACTCCTTAGAAACTTGTTTACATTGATAGAGTGAAAATCGGTCAGTTTCATTCAAGTGATGATCTCTTCAACACGCAGTAATTGTCAATTGTTTGAAATGTTTTCATTTACTTCACAATAAATTATAGTTCACAACAACAATCCTATTCAGATAGGAATCTAATTAAGATAAAGATCTAAAATCCTTGAATCATAATCGTGACATAAACAAACAAAATGACCGTTGCGGTCTTTAAACAAAAGAAAACGAATTATCACTTTCGTTTTACTGAACTTCATCCTTTGTTTGGCCACCTAATTTGTCCAATTAACTAAATAAAACTCGTTCCATGGACCTTTTCCTACTCAACCGGCTGATAGTATCTCACACCAATTTTGAAATTTGAAAGACGGCACAAATTAAATTTAAAATTAAAAAATTAAATTTAAAATTAAAAAATTCAATTTTCATCAGGCCGCCCAGCAGTCTCAAATCCAATAATTACTAAAGAAATCGTTATGCAAATCAACGCTTATTTAATTTAATTTTTTTTTTTTATTTATGGGGCCTGGTGTCCGAGTGACCAGCGCTCGGTTTGTAGTGGCTCGGAATTCACTTCAAGCCGTAGGCCCCAGTCTAATATGACGGTAGAGCGTTCGACGTAGGGCTGGAAAACTTACCCCGTAAAAGGAAAAACATCTTCTGTCTTGAAATCAGCTAATAGGCAGACGGCCTTGGCCCACTATGGGGCTGTTGCGCTACTGATGATGATGATGAACATGTAACCTCATCTTTAATGAATCGGAATCCACTTTAAACCGTAGGTCCCGGTCTAATATGAACGTAGAGCGTTGTGGGGGTAGTACCACTCACGTCCGTAGCCTATCTTCAAGCTACACCTTCTCCCTGGGTAGTGCTAAATATTCTCTATGCAATTAAAAAATTTTTTTTATTTATTTATTTATTTTTGGTTATAAACAGAAAAATAAAACAGAATATAAGTAAAAACAGAATAGATAGTAGAAACCTGGCAATATTATCTTGTCTAATAGCTTTACATTTTATCTGAAATAATTTTAAATATTATTGAAAAAAATTATTATTTTTGTTTTCTATTAACAGTATCCTTTTCCACCCCAAACATAGCACAGCACAGCATAAAATTTCATTAACACCGTGCGCAATTTTTACATACATATTTTTTTCCCCCTTGAGCAGTGTGCAATGACCAAGTCTAGGGAAGTCTAGTTACAGCCTGCTTTATCATTTATAATTTAATTTTTTTAATCATAAAATCGATAATTTTTAAAAAAAATTTCATTTTTAAATAAAATATTAAAATAAAAAAGTCAAATATAAGTTAATAAATTCATAAAATTAAATAACATAAAAAGTTAAAGGAGAAGGAAATTAAATATTGAAAAAACGTTTGTTTAAAAAGTTTTTAGTTTACTGCATATCAGGAAATGACGGATTATTTTATATATTATTTGCTTTTATATTATAACAAATATTTTTATGTATTATTTTTTATTTTATTTTTATTATATAAAATAATGTAATTTATTATATACTTAAATAAATACAATATTTTTGTATTATTTTATATTAGTATTTTTGCTTACTTTTAACCTAAAGCCTACCTATTTAAGCTTACTAGCCTATATTACTGATTCCTTTACCAGCCATGAGATACAAAAATTCATTGGATATTTTATAGGATTACAGGAAAGAAATTTCTGTTTTAGAATAGAATTTGTTACTTGCTAGAAAATTTATACCCATTTTAACCAAAACTTATTTGCGAAAAATATGTTAATGCATGAATACTAAAATAGGTAATAAATAAAAATCATTTGACTCAATACATTTCCGCTTGGTGTTTTCAAAAAAAATAACCAAATATTAAAATTGATATTATATTGACTTAAAACCAGTCATTAATAAATCTTTAATTTATCCACATATATGGTCCTTTGAGTTTAGGGAATAGCCAGAAGTCGCACGGGGGGAATACGGTGGTTGTGGAACGATATGGGTTTCATGTTTGGCGTAAGAGACACGAAGAATCAATGCAGTGTGAGCTGGCTAATTCAGTGTTTTCGGTATCAATCGAAATTTGACGCGTTTGAGGCCCAAAATAGAATTGACCGAACATTATCAGCAAGGTCTCTATTTGTAAGTCGACGGTTTGCAAGCACCAAATCTTTAATTTTTTGGACGTGAGCTTCGTCGGTTAGGGTTGGTAGTCGACCAGAGGGCTTTCCGTCTTCAATGCGTTCTCTGCCTTCTTTGAACTGTTTATACCACTTCTAAACATTTCTTTCCATATAGGAATGCAACATTCTATACGTTTCCACAAACAAAATTGAATGCAAGTTCTTTGCTCAATGAATTCAGACGTTTCAAAAATCGCCGGAATCAGTTTTAGTGTCTCACGAAGCCAAGAGTAACTCAAACACTAATATTATTCATATGTTTGAAAACTTTCAATATCTAATGTAAATTTAAAAATAATATTATTGTAAAAATAATAAATAAATAAAAAATAAATTAAGTGGAATTTTTTTTTGTTAAAAATTTATTTATTTACTAGAGTAGCATTATTTCCCTTACAAACAATACAGAGGTTTTGAAAGATATTCCATTTACTTTAATTCTAAGTATAATAAAAATCATTTTTACGAGAGAGAACTATTC